TTTTTTTTTTGTTGTAGCATGCTAATTAATTTCACTTGGTATATGAAGAGGCAATGTCATTTAAATAGTATTTTCTTTTGTATTACCACGGTAATTAATTTCTTTTGGTATATGAAAAGACAAGATCATCTAAATAGTGTTTCCTTTTGCATTATCATTTGAATTAATTTCTCTCAGTAGATGAAGAGAATCAAAAGATAAAACCATTTAAAAAAATATATAAAAATGCTACCCTATGTATTAATTAGGGGTATGCATTTATAAAAAAACATAATAAAAACTAAAAACCATAGTATAGATGAAGAAATTAGTTCATCTAACTATTTTTTTTGTCCAACATGCTCATTAATTTCTTTAGGTATTGAAGATGCAAAGCCGTCTAAATAATGCTTCCCTTTGCATTCCCATATGAATTAATATCTCTTGGTAGATAAAAAGGCAAAGCCATTTAAATATTGAAAAACAAAAAAAAAAAAAATCAACAAAAATGAAAATGAAGAAACAAGTGTTAACTATTTAAATTCTCTACAAGAGACTAAAATAGAACTAATACGGCCAATTTAAATGAGACTTCAAAATCAATGATTTAAGCAATCTAATGTAATTCAAATAAAATAGATGATAAAAAATTGAATCCATTGTGTATAACAAAAATAAATAAAAATAAGACTTCAAATTTCAATCAAATAATTATGACTATTGCAACTGAATATATTCCAAAGTTTAATATGAATCACTAAAAATTTGAAGAAAAAAATAAAGATAAAACAAAAATAATGGATTTAATGTTATAAAATCGAAATAGTATCAAACTTTAATTAATTGAAAGAGTTTTAAAATTCAAATTTAGATTATATAAGAGCTCAATTTTTCAAATTGGAATACACAGAAAGTGCAATTTGAATTGTAAAAATACAAAATTACCTTAAAATGAGAAAACATATTTTGGTACAATATAGATTCAAAAATATATTTCCTAATACATAATACAAAATACTTTGACATTTTTATCCTTTAATTAATTAACAAAAGCAATTTGCATTTCTTTCAAATAATTTTATATAAAAATATATATTAAAGAAATCCACATAATATAAATATAAAATAAAAAAATCAAATTCCATATACACACGGCCTAAAATAA